ACAAAGCAGCTACCATGTTCTTTAGACTCTCAGAGAATGGCTTAATAAGAAGCTGACGGCACATACCAAGATCCAGGTCTATAGAGCCTGTGTCCTGCGTACACTCCTGTAGTACAGTGAATCCTGGACCCTTTGTGCATGCCAGGAGAGGAAGTTGAACATATTCCATATGCGCTGTCTCCGACGCATTTTTGGTATCACCTGGCAGGACAAAGTTCCAAATAGAGTAGTCCTAGGACAAGCTGGAATTTTTAGCATGTATACATTACTGAAACATTGCCGTGTACGCTGGCTCAGGCATGTCATGAGAATGGCTAACAGTTGGCTTCCAAAAGATCTCCTGGATGGAGAATGAATGCAGGAAAATCGCCCCAGAGGGAAACCGCAGCTGTGATACAAGGATATTTGCCAGCGGGATATGAAGGCCTTAGGAATGGACCTCAACAGATGGGAAACCCTGACATCGGAGCGTTCAGCCTGGAGGCACGTGGTGCATCATGGCCTCTCCCAATTTGAAGAGACCCTTGTCCAGTAGGCCAAGGCAAAGAGGCAGTCCCCAAACCAGCAAAATCAGGGAGCTGGAAAGGGGAGAGATTGTATTTGTCTTCAGTGTGGAAGGAATGGTCATTCTTGAATTGTGGTCCTGACACAACCAGATAGGCGGGATATAAATAAAATAAATAAATAAATAAATTGGCCTTCTCAGCCACACTAGATTCCAAGGACTCTATTCAGAGCACGTTACCATCGTCTCTTGAGACTGAAGGATGCCTACAACAACAATTTTTTTCCACAGCTCTATCAGGGAACACATGGTATACATGCAATCATGTGAAACCTCCATGACAAGACTGACCTGTACTCACAACTGGAACTCAGTATGAAAGAGAAATTAATCCCTTAAGGAAGGGGTATCTGATGAGAGTGATCTTGATTAGGACACTGTGATTTTTGGACATGGTTATTTTGTTTTTGTTAGCGTTTAGCCTGTATGTTTCCTTATTATGCCAAATAAGGAAAATATTATGTTTCTCCATGAAAAATACTCTGTTTTCCATAGGCATACTTCTGAGAAGATCAGTGCACAGACATTTAACTCCTTAACAGACAGTGAAAACTGAGTACATGCATTGCAGTTTCTGCTGTAAATTTTGCTGCTGTTAAAAAAAAGAAGGTAGTTCACTCATAATGCACACTCCATTGCAGTGTTTCTCACAGCTCACTAAATGCAGGGGAAAGGGGGGGTATATAATGCAGGTTCCCCTTAACTGAAGAAGAAAAAGGGGTTATTCCATGCATGTTAATCACCTTGCACTGTCCATTTGGCATCTTCTGCACTGTGCTCACATAAACCAGAAATCAAATTCTGGCCAGCACAGCTGGTAGTGAAGGCTTCTGGGAACTGCAGTCCAAGAACAAGGTTGAGAACCACTGCTTTAGGCAAAAGGTGTACACTTTCTAGCACCCATTATCTTACAAAATCATGGTTACAAAATTGAATTTTAGTCAAGGTTACTGCTTTAAATATAATGGGGTGGGGGAGGTTCAATTGTTTAACCCAAAATCTTATAACCCAAGACCCAGGAGACCATTAAATTAATATAAAGATAATAGAGGCCTCATCTTATGGTCTATGTACATGGCTGAGGTGGAATGTGAACCACAAACTATTCCTTGGAACTCCATTTCGAGCTTCAACTGAACATCTATTTCATAGGCGGAACATCAATTAACTTTTGCCAGTTCGTCGTCTCTTCGGGTCTACTAGCCTACGGGTGAGGGTGAAAGACTTCTTGATAGTGATTTTCTCTGTATTTACATTTACCAGGAAAAAAAGGAGACAATTCTGCCACTGCTTGCACTGTATGGCTCCTCTCAAGGGCTGTGCAAGACAAAAACACTGCTCCGTCTTCAAAAGGATGGGATCAATTACAGTAAAACCCAAAAACACTGCTCCGTCTTCAAAAGGATGGAATCAATTACAGTAAAACCCCTGTATCCGTGAGGGAATGGTTCCAGGATCTATCTTGGATGCCTGAAATTTTTTGCGGACGGAGAAGTACGCAACTCAAAAAGTTCGCAAGTCAAGACCCCACTGTATCTGTGAGGGATTTGTTCCAGGATCTATCTTGGATGCCTGAAACAGTGGATACGAGGGAACCCTAGATACAACATACAAGGGATGGGACAAAGGCCACAAATCAACACCCTTGTATATTTTATACGGGGCTGCAGCAAACTGCTGATAAGTGAAACCATCAATCCCACAGAGAAAGGGATCCTACACGTCTGTCTGCTCAGGACAACAGCAGGAAGTCATTTGGAGTTGAACCAAGATACTCCTTCTTCTCTGTAGGTTGTCCTCTGTCTTTGCTCCCCACAGAGGGACCTAAATCCGCAAACTACTTATACAGAGAACCTACAAATGTTGTAATCATATCCAAAACTTCATAAACGTTGCACCAAATATTTTGTCCTTTTTTCCCCTTGTTCCCCACAACAGCTGTCCCACAAATCACTTGAAATTTGGCTTTTAACATTCAGAACAGGATCAAAATGCACATTTCTCATATAGCATGAAAACTGATGTTTAAAGTCGAGCGCTCGTGTGAAACTACCCCCTTTGAATTCTAATTTTAAAGGTACATCCTACCTTTTCTCTCAGAAACCCTGATTGGATTATATTTAACGCACACTCCTGCATGCATACACATAATACGAACAGAAGGCCTACATGGATCTCTATGAAGTGACCTCCCTCCAGAACAGAGATTAGAAAAGTTACTCTTTTTTGATATGCAAGACAATCTGCAACTCCCAGACTGTCCAGCCACCACAGTCAGAAGTTCTCTTGCTACTTGGGTGGATTCAGTGACTTGTAGTCCAAAAAAATTGGAGCTTTCCCAAGCTCTGTTCCAGTTAAACAAAAAAAAAATCCAGCTAGGTTTCTGATATAACATTTAGAGATGAAGATTTATTGATCACAGTGAGGGATTTATGGCACTCTGTTTTCCAAGAGTGATCAGAAGCACAAGCAATAACACTAGAATTTGCGACAAGGATTAAACATCATAGTGGAAGGTATTACCAAGAATCTCTCCTCTTTTTCCAGCCATCGCTGATCTTCCTCCATCTCCTGCTGCTGCCGTATCAATCTCTCCTCCATTAGATGGGCTGGTAGACCTTGCCCCATGCTTCGCAGATCCAAACTGCCAGAGTCCTATCAGAACAAGCAGGAGGTGAGGTGGGAAAGACCAGAAGGGAACTTTAAAATAAGTGATACAATTTTTTTTAAAACATGCTCATCACCAAGGTACAACTTGCATTTCTTCCTAAAGAAAAAGCCTTTTTCACATTCATTTTTTTTAAAATATTGCTTTGAAACAATTTTAATTAGTTCTCGAAGGCTTTCACAACCGGGATCCAATGGTTGTTGTGGGTTTTCCTTAAGAACATGGCCAAACAGCCCGGAAAACCCACAACAACCAATTTTAATTAGAATTCAGAATTAATTAACACAGATTGCTTCTTCCTAAAGAAAAGCCTTTTTTACATTCCTTTTTTTTTTAAATATTGCTTTGAAACAATTTTAATTAGTTCTCGAAGGCTTTCACAACCGGGATCCAATGGTTGTTGTGGGTTTTCCTTAAGAACATGGCCAAACAGCCCGGAAAACCCACAATAACCAATTTTAATTAGAATTCAGAATTAACTAACACAGATTGTTGTTAATTATTATGATAGAATTCTGGGTTCAAGTCTCAGCTTAGTCATAACATTAGGTCTCAAAACTAACCTGATTAATTATTATTTCAAATATAAATAATATTGCTAGAAAATTTGTACAAAAGAGAGAAAAAAGCCTTCTTCTGTCAAACAAAGAGTATCTATTGGACTTAAAAGGGAGCTAGAATATATTTTCAAAGGTGTCTGACATGGCCTCTAATCCAATCTAGGGTTTTTATACAAATTGAATTAATGACAGGAAGTATAAGGCAGCCAGATCTATCCCTTCTGTCTTTATTTTCAGGTAATAACTGCTAATTCATAAACCGATTATTGTTTATTGCTGCATGGCAGCACATTTGGAAACTGCCACAGACTGGAAGGGAACATGTAATTTTACATGCATGGAGAAACAGAATATGGCATATTACCCTAACAGAAAAATTAACTCACCAGATCAGATTATGTAACCAACCACACTCCCAACATGATCTTTTCAACACATGGTTTCGTTTTATTAATTATGCTAAAAATAATGACAAGCATTATTTTCCACTAACCTCCCATGCCAATCTTTGGTGCAATATCCTAATCTGATACAGAATGCAATGGTGTGTATGAACATTTATTCATTTTTTGCTTCAATGTATATCAGATTACACATTCCTTGTGAAAGACCTGTACTATTATTTTGTTTCAAGAAGAAACACAAAACAAAACCAAAGCAAAAAGAAAAAGGAAAAAAGTCCACTTCTTCGGTCATATAAGTAATGTTACTTTTGTTGTTTTCATGGTCTTTCAATAAAGTTAAAAATAGAAGCTACTGCTAGAAGCCACTGGCAATGGTGCGGCTAAAAAATATTGTAAATAAATAAATAAATAAAATAAAACACAGCTGTAAAAAAGAAAAAAGAGAGAAAACTTGGCCATAAAGAGAACAGAATTTTAGAAGTCAGACAAGATACTTCAAAGCAATGCATATGTGTTAGAAACCTACTCTAAAGAAACCCAAGTTTCACAGAAGGTCTAAGGAAGTCTATGGATTAAAAATCCTCTAGGGCTGGAATTATACCTTTGCAATAAAGAAAAATGTATCTGCTGTGGGTTAGTTATCAACAAGTGTGACCCCACTTGTAATTAAAAAAAAATTATTTGTTTTATTCATTTTGTAGATGGGCATGTTGGAGGCTAGAATTGATAGCACATGATGGAGAACGTCACGCCCTGTTTCCTGTTTATGTGCAGTTTTGGATGTGCAGTTTTAATTACAGGTTAAATGAAATGGAGGTGGAATGAAGAAAAGAACTCAAAGCCATGATGATGGCCGAGGGAGGAGCTGGGGGTGATCGGAGTGGGCAAGGAAGGAGTAAGTTCTGTTTCACCCAAAACTCAACTCGTGTATCCTTAAAAACCAGAAAGGAGCCAGATTGGGCGCCATTCTGAAATGCTGTATGGTTTGACATCATGTGCTGTATATAAATAGGAGTTGCTGTGGATTCAATCAGTTTTTTTCCCAGAAAGTGTAGTTTTAGACCGGGTGACTATAGGAACAAGTGGCCTCTACAGGAGAGCTCCTAATTCTTGGGTTTTCCCTAGTGTAAGAGAATCTCAACACTACCGACAGATCAGGTAGGAAAAAGGCAGGCGGGTGAGGAACAATTCGAAGGAAGGTTAAAGTAGGGAATGATGGTTGTCAAAACCAAGGGTTCATATATCCAGCAGTTTTCATCATTTGGAGTCACAAACTGAAAGGCTATGAGAAGCTTAACTGTTGCTAAAACTGAATGAATTTCAAAAATGTGAATTTAGGAAATCTAGTTTCAGAGTATGGTTGGCATTGGTCAGATTTTTAATATGCATGGTGTCAGAGAGTCTGTTGCTCACTGTACAAGCTAGTTTAAAAATAAAATAGGAGGGACAAAGGTTTTGGACCAGCAATCCACTTGGAAGAAAGGGCTGAATACAGCCATTGTATGCCACTACAATCCCTGAATTGATAACTTTGTTAGGGAAGAGTTGGCTTCCCCAACCCATGACAAGGATATTTGTAAATCCAAGAAAATACCCAATATGTGGAATCATTATTCAATTGCAGAATTCTGGGAACTGTAGTCCAATTCAGGCTCTGGGAACACCAGAATTTAGACAAAGATTCAGATATAATATCTAGCGGTGAGCAAGTAAGAACTCTTATAGAAACAGAGCCTGGGAAAGAGCATGCCACAGGCTTTTCTGTGGAAGGAGGGAAGAGGGAGAAGAACTCTCAAAAATATTCTGCATTTCCCTGAAGAAGAAGAAGGAGGAGGAGGAGGAGGAGGAGGAGGTGACACTGAGGTTGACAATGGGTGCTGTTTCCTCCAAGGCAGGTGGCAGTCTTGTGACCTACGAGAAAAAGAAGGAGGAGGAGGAGGAGGAGACACTGAGGTTGATAATGGGCGCTTATTTCTTTCAAGGCAGATGGCAGTCATGTGACCTATCCATCACTGTCATCTGCCTGTGTCTACCGTGCTTTATTACTATACAGTGGTGCCTCGCTAGACAGTTAACCCTCATGATAGTTTTTTCGCTAGACATTGACTTTTTGCAATCGCTATAGCGATTCACAAAACAGTGATTCCTATGGGAGAATTTTGCTGGACAATGTTTGGTCCCTGCTTCACAAACAGATTTTTGCTAGACGATTTTGACAGCTCCCTCCACGCTCACAAAACAGGTGTTTTCGGGACCTAAGCTTTGCAAGACAGCGATTTAAATAGCTGATCGGCGGTTCGCAAAGGGGCTTTCCTATGGCCGATCTTCGCTAGACAACAACTATTCTTCCCCATTGGAACGCATTAAATAGGTTTCAATGGATTCCAAATCTTCCCCATTGGAACGCATTAAACAGGTTTCAATGCATTCCAAAGGGGAAATGCTTTTCCCTCGACAATGATTTAGCTAAACAGCGATTTCAGTGGAATGGATTATCATAGTCTAGCGAGGCACCACTGTAGCATGTTTTCACTACTCCGAAAATTCTCTGAGACAATTAAACAACTGCTCAGAGAAGCAACATAGTTCCAAAGTAGAGATAGGCACGAACTGCCAGTTCAGAGCATATGTGCTGGTTTATTCTTCAGACGAACAGGGATTTGGCAGTTTCCAACCGTACTCTCTCCAGTCCACTGAAAGGCAGTACCCTGGGGCTTCCCTGCCCTACCTCCTACGGGCACTGCCACTGAGTGGGCACCTGCTAAAGGAGGCAAGATTGGAAAGCACAAAACACCTTTTCATCCAAAGGGCAAACTGGAAGTTCATGCCCATCTCTATTTAGAAGCATTATGGCTGTTATCAGAAACATAAGGCTCCCTAAAGCATTTGAATTGAGTGTATGAAGGGGAAGAGTGGGGAATGGACAGGTTATCACCCCCCGCCTTAACTTCTTTGCCCATTGAGGAAGTTTCAGGCTTCCATGTGCTAAACATACAATTCTGAGGGTGATTCAGTGCACACTCAACTAAATGCACTCAAAAGCCTCAGCAGAATACCAAATACAGGATTCCCAACTGCAAGGAAATATTGAGTCAGAACAAATTCAAACAAGTTTATCTGCAAAGTGCTATGCAAATTTCCACGGTGAGCTGTTGACTGGTCTGTTACAGTTCCTCTTCTGTTACCTTTGACTTGCCAAATATCTGAGAAACAATTACCTCCATGTTAGATTGCCACATGGAAATTTCTTGAGGCCGATGGTTCCAGGAATCTGTTTGATCCAAGAGAGAGGCCTGGCCTGGATAAATGCTACCAGCCATTGCTGGAATTCCATGGGAACTGGGATAGCCTGAGACCTACCAAAAACATTGAAAAATGTTTAACCCTAAGTTTTCTGGTTAATTTTGTGTTACATTAGAGGAATCTGCCACCTTAAATCAAGCTGTAGGGCACTTGCTAGTATAAATTCCAAGTAAGAGAAATGAGACTGTACATAGCATTCAGTGGTACTGTAACATATCCTTTCGATGTTGTCTAAACATGCACTTCATGTTAAAATGCTGCTCTCGATTAAGCACATATTGGTACACTTGACTAATGGATTTTACAGAAACACACAGAGTTAATTGTCATGAATAATCATTATATCTACATTTTTCTACACATTCTGCTAAATATAGCCTACCAGCTTATACATCTGGGGTGACAGCACACAATGAGCATAAGCAGCTGGAAGATATGCCAACAATTGTTTTATTGTGATTCCAAACCACTTTAAAGTGAGTCTACACTTTAGAACATATAGTAATACTTCCACTTAAGACATACTATGGGACAAAAAATTGAATATTACAAGTTTCTCCATTAAAATTGGACTTTTATTTTTTAAAAAAATATATTTTACTCCACCTTTCTCATAGTAATGCAGAACATCAGCACAGCCCTAATTGTCTAGGGTTTTTTTTTCTTCCCCCCTGAACTCCATGCAGAAGTAGAGGAAGGAAGTTTTTAACATGCTTATTTAATTTCCTGATCTGCCCATAAAATTAAGTGGTTCAGATGACTTGTTTATGCCACTAATAAGGATATTAAGACCAGCTGGGAAATTAAAGCAGGAAGCTCTCTTTGGTTTGATCCCAGCAATTGCACACAATGGAAATGAACCAAAATACACCAATCCTATCTACACCAAATATTAGTACCACAGACAAGAATGCTCTGGTTCAGTCCGAAAATTACAGTGTTTGCTCACAGGAAAAAGGAGCGAACCAGGCCGTCTCCACAGTAGACTAAACAACGGGGCAAATGACATTTGATCACACCCTCAGACAGTCAGGCAGGTGTCATATAACATCTGACAAAACCCACTGGTGAGGGGGACAAGTTGGAGACATGTATCTGCATGTACCAACAAGCAAAACACAGAGCATCCATTGTAAGTCTTAGTGGAGTTGAAAATAAATCACATTATTTAGCAAAGCTAGATATAAAATTTAAACTGTAGGACATGGAATCAACTGAGGCCAACTACTTAACTCCTGAAATCTGACATTTACCATTGAGTCAAATAAAGGTATTGCCTACCTGTGATTTTTGGATTTCAGAGTCTGGACTTTGTTTTATGTCACAGAGCATCTACTGATCATCCATATAACATTATCAGCCATATCTTGCTTCATCTTGCGCGTATTTAAGACAATAATATGTTAAAACAATGATGTAAAATAACAACTTTTCACCTGGTAATGATTGGGTTGTACCATATGCTGTGGACTGGGATAGAATCCTTCACTAGATCTTGGACTGGGGTAACCAGGTCTGCTGGGCTAGAAACAGAAAGAAACCACTGTCATTACAAAACAAAACAAAACCCTGTAACGAAATTCAACACAGAAAATCCCCGGAGAGTGTCTGGTTTCATTTATTTAGTCATGCATTTCATCCTCATCCTAATCTGCCCCAGGTTCCCATCATTCAACTACATAACAGGGAGAAGCTAGACCTTAACCGAGAGGAGAACATGTCCAAAGAAAACCACATGAATTTATAGCCAGAAATTGTTTTTGTGTTTGGTCAAAAAAGAGAGGTTACTTACCTGTAAATTTGGTTCTTCGAGTGGTCCTCTGTGAATTCACACTAATGGGTTAATCTGCGCCTGCGCAGAGGGTGTCGGAATATTCTAGAGCTTAAAGTAACACTTTTGGCTCCGCCCCCCAGGACCTCATGGTCCGCCCGCCCTAACAGCTAGCTCAGTTTCATTTTTTCCACTGCTGCAGTTAGGTCTCCTAGCTAGAGCTCCGTGAATTCTGTGGAAATTATTGAGGATTTATCTTCGTTTGGCTCCTTCTTCATCTTCAACACTTAGGAGTCTTACTTTTTTATGCTCATGTTTAAAGTTGTGTAAGAAATTGGGGAATGTTCCTACTAATTTTGGGGCACAAACACTGAGAAAGCAGACATGGGAGGTTCACAAAGCAGGTTTCCCAGAAGCCAAGTCAGCAGACAAGCAATACGTCTGTTATTCCCAATAAAAGAACATTCACTGTTTTCTTTTTCATCATAACCCCAACCTGTGAAAATGATGACTACCGTATTTTTCCGTATATAAGACTATACTTTTGTCTAAAATCTTTAGACTAAAATTGAGGACCATCATACATGGAAGTAAGCTGAGGAGGAAAAAAACAAGTGGAAGAGAAATCAGGGATCAAAGTGATCCTGCAGGGCTTTCCCCTCCACTTGCTAAGCCTTAGCAAAAGGAAAGCAGGGATCAAAGTGCTGCAGGATCGCTTTGATCCCTGCTTTCTCCTCTGCTTGCCAAGTCCCATGGGGCTTAGCAAAAGGAGGGGGGAAGGATCAAAGCAATCCCATGGCTGTATAAGGGGGAAAGAGATCAAAATGATTGTGCAATCATGGAATTGCTTTGATCCCTTTCCCCCTCCTTTTGCTAAGCCACGTGGGGCTTAGCACAAAGGGCGAAAGCAGGGATCAAAGCTATCCTGCAGCACTTTGATCCTTTTTACCCTACATTTGCTAAGTTCCACTTAGATTTCTTTATTTGGGGTTAGAAAAGTGGGGGGTGTCTTATACATGGGGGTCTTATAGACAGAAAATATGGTATATACTAGTTCTCAACAGATGTAAACATGTTGCCTGAAAACCACATTATTTGCATGTGAATCACAGCATGTTATACCACATTTTTCTAGTTCGCGGTAGGAGCCCTACAAAAGCCCCTAAAATTTTGGCAGATGTGTGGAGCAAAAACAACAGTGACAGTGTGTATGTGCAGTGATGGTGTTCAGGCAATCTTTCTGCCCACATGCTGGGGTTTCATCATTTCGGAGGTGCTGCAAAATACCAAGTTAGAGAAGCTGCAAAAACAAATGCTAAATGCTGACACAAGCTTGGAACAGAAAGGTCAATGTTGCTTTTGAGGTGCTCAAGAAGCCCCAGCACTGAGAGCATCAGTCCCACCATTCTCTATGGCAATCCAAAATGTGACCTTTAAACTGCAAAATGTCTGCAAAGCTTTGGAGTGGAGAGAGCCTATGGAAATATAGTATTTTGACTGACAGAACTCTCACAGGTAATTCAAGAAGATAAGTCTGAAAATTAACGTTAAAGATTTCAGCCCTTGATTCAATGCATATTGAATCATCAACTAATGGATGTTTAATGAAAGAAAACCAGAATTCGAGTATTTTTGAAATACATTTGATTTTAATGCCAAACAGTTTCGTCCTGAAAACTTGCACCCCCTTAAGTTCCACTAAACGCAGTGGGATTTAAAACTAACTGATGTATTCTACAGGTCTGCAGTGTTGTTTTAAATTCAGGCCAAACAATACCTTGCCGGATACCCGCACCAACTCTTGTTATATGTACAGTTTTGTCAAAAAAAAAAAACAAAAAAAAAAAACACCTTCAGTATTTTATCTGTAACCTGGCTAAAGTTAATAATGCTAGGTAAAGATAAAGGTTCCCCTTGACATTTAGTCCAGTCGTGTCCGGCTCTAGGGCGCAGTGCTCTTCCCCCTCTGCAAGCTGTTTGTCTGATGACAGATTCCGTGGTCACGTGGCCAGCACAACTAGACACAGAACACCGTGACCTTCCCACCGTGATGGTACCTATTTAACTACCCGCAATTTTATATGCTTTCAAACTGCTATGTTGGCAGGAGCTGGGACGAGTGACAGGAGCTCACTCTGTTGCATGGATTCGATCTTACGACGGCTGGTCTTCTGACGTTGCAGCACAGAGGCTTCTGCAGTTTAACCCGCAGCAGCACCATGTCCTTCTTAATAGTGCTAACAGGATGCCAAAAAAAGCAGTTTGACTTTGGCACGGCTATGTGTCCGATAAATTGTGATTAAGTACTCCAGAAACGCAATTACACCCCAGTGTGTGCTTCCATATACCCTCATGTTGCTATATGTGGAGATCATGGGTAATGAGACTCGGTACATTTAGATTCACAACAGAAGGTGGAGGGGGGGGGAAGACAATCAACCAAGAATACTTTCTTTTCAGCCAAGCTTGAGCCCATCTTGAACCCAAAGAAAAGCACAGATGCCAGTTTCAAAACCATTAAGTGCTGATCAGGTTCTACTGCTCATTAATCACAGCTTTCAAAGGATTTAGCTTTGTGCTTTTCTTAAGCTGTAATTCACCATACATTAAAAGTTAAAGAAAACTACTAAATCTACTTAAGACCTGTGGGAAGGATTTTTAACAGTTAATGTCTTTAGACAATCGTCTGAGATAATGAGTGTCAGCTTGTTATTACCCCATATACCATTTATTTACTTATGCAACTGCATATATTCAGAACTCCCCGTCAGTGAATCAGACAGCTCAACTACAGTTTGAACTTATGGTGCACTTTGTCCTGAAGGGTTAAGCAAAGGTGACTACTTATTAGAAAGGGAACATACAAATACCCTATTAAAATGCAGTTACAATAGCTAAGATCATGACAAAGGATTTCCTAGCTTAGCCACAACCATACAAACCGTGCCCAAATCTTACAATATCTCTGAAATCATTCCAGAATACCACAGAACTGCTGAGTTGGAAGGGGTTCCAAGAGCCATAGAATTCAGCCATAGAATTCCTGCCAATGCAGGAAAACCACAGCTAAGTCCCAACTAGTCTGTTTCACTGCAGAACATCTCTTACCATTGGAGACTTCTTTCTAATAGTTAGCTGAAACCTCCTTTTCTTGTGAGTTGAAGGCACTGATTTTGCCACTACCCTCAGAAGCACCAGAAAGCAAGCTTGCTCCATCTTCCACTTGAGAGCCCTTCAAGCTATCTTGAAGGGCTGCCTATCTTTTCAGTCTTCTGCCTTCTCCAGGCTAAACATGCCCAACATCTTTAACATTCCTCACAGATCATAGTTTCCAGATTCTTTACCATCTTTGTTGTCCTCCTCTGCACACTTTCTGACTTGTTGATATCCTTCTTCAATCGTAAAGCCCAGAACACGGAACAATTCTTTGTGAGATTTAACCAAAGCAGAACACAGGAACAGTGTTACTTCTCTTGATCTGGACACGATGCCTCTGGTAGATCTACATTAATTTTCCACACACCCCACATCATGGTGTTGAGTCATATTTAGACAGAGGTCTACTAAGACGCCTGCATCATTTTCTCATGTACTGCCATTAAGCCAGCTGTCACCCATTCTATACTTACACATCTGGGGTTTTTTTCCCCCTAGATGTCAAGGCTCTATGCTATTTTGCAAGCAAATATGCCAACCCAATGTGTTACAGTTCAGCTCATGCAAAACAAGTAGATAAAGCATCAATGCAAGCTGCAGATTCATTACTTGATCATCTTGACTGTCATGGCCTGAAGCCAACCCGAATTGACAAAATCAATTACCCAGCAGCCACTGCACTCAATGACATATGGAGACATATGGGCACAAACTGAGGTTCGTACCAGTTCATATGCACAGCAGCACAGGTGCCGCGCATTGCCTTCTCCTGCCTCCCCAGCCATTGACCCACTCACCAGTTGGAGCATACTCCTCCTCTTCCTCCTCTTCAGCTGACCAGTCCCCAGCAGGAGCACAGATTTGCCTGTCCTGCCTCCTTGTCTGAGTGGGTGATCAGCCAAGGAGGCAGGACAGGGAAGCCCATGTTCCTGCTGGAGACTGGTCCAAAAGGTGAAGAGGAGGAGGAGAGGAGCACACCCCAGCTAGTGAGTGGGGTATCCAGCTGGGGAGGCAGGGGAAGGGAACATGTTGCACCTGTGGTGTCATGCATGAACCAGCATGAACCTCCAGAGGTTCATGCCTATCTCTAATGGAGAAGTAACAAATTGTAGTGAAAGACTGAAGGCATCTACATCAAACATGTAGTATTCTTTGTTTGCATCCATTCTTTAACTACTTTGTTGAGCATAACTTTAGTGGAAAAGAACCCCTGGAACCGTAAAACAGCCAGCAAGTTCACCACCATCTGACTGACCTCCATAAACAGCTTTCTGTCCTCACTCTGGAAACTGCCTACTCATGTCTAGTCTTGACCCTCCCACTCACTACCGTGAGATCTTCTAAGACTCAAAAGCTGTTCACTGCTGTCCCATCATTTCCAGCTTATTGTGACCCTATGAATTAATGATCTTCAGGAGGTTCTGTCATTTACAGCGCTGCTTTGGCCTTGTACACAAAAGGCTGTGCCTTCCTTTACTGAATCAATAAATTTCATATTAGGTATTCCTCTCTTCCATACTTAACCTGGTGATGAGATTTGAGTGTGTCACGAAAGCTGAGTGCAGCACCATCAGGAAGCTACATTAACAAGTCTAAACTCCTAACACAATGACCCAAGACGGAATGATCAAAATAGAGACATTGCACCTCAGCAATTAGTAGTAGTATCAGGAGGTGAGGATTTAATGTTCCACTGGTGATGGAGGCACAGAAATTCTTAAAGGACAGCTACCATGCAGCAGCAGAAGTGAAAGGCAAGACTTGCTTCGGATCTTTCAGGTTAACCTTCATTAAAATGTGCAGAAGCTGGCAGTGCTAAACCCAGTTTTGAATGTTTTATCCCCCTCCAAACCCCATGGTCCCACAACATGGTTTCAAATGCCAGTGCCCAGTCTTAGAAGTTTGCCCATTCTGGTGTTATTGCCATGGGTTATCAAGTCAGAAACAACTTATCATAGTCAGCTTGTTTTAAGGTAAGTGGAATACTTAAGGAGTGGTTTTATCCATTTGTCTTGCCAGTAAAGCTTCTATGGCTGAGCAGGAATTCAAACTCAGGCCTCTGGTGTCCTAATCCAACACTACCTACTACAACACAGTTGACATCCCATTCCAGGTGTTCCATCTAAACCCAATTCCATTTAAATTCTGCCCTGGATTTTCTCCTGCAATGCCAAGCATCTCAAATTGTGTAAAGGATGCTTGAAGTGCTCTTGAAACCCAGTACTGCCTGTCCTACTTCTCAGTTCTTAAGACGTATTTTGGGAAGTCATTAGAGAAACACAGGTGAGAAGATGAAATGCAGTGAGAAGCACCAATTTACAGATATGCTAAGGGTGGGAGTGAAAACAGATGTAAGCAAACCATCAGCTAATGGTCTCATTATCCACAGAAGAAGGAATCTGTGCCAGAAAAGAAGAAGAAAAGAATGGAATGAACTTATTTCTAAATGATTTGCTATCATGTTGTAAAGGTAACTTTATGGGAGTCAAGACTCTCAGCACTCAGTTATTTAGGAGAAGACAGACAAGATAAAAAGAAAAATGTCTAATCCTAAGGCGAAGCAGTATTATCACATGCTAGGTGCTCTTTGAGAAGTGGAAATCGAAAAAAGAAGACATGAATGGAGAGAATAGGGGCTATAAGATTTAATGAATGTTCTATAAATGTTTAGGGTGGATTTGCCAAGAGCTGTACCAAGCTATAGAACAGTATCTAACATGAGAGAAGTCAAAAGATGCCACCAGAAATATTCTGTGAGTGAAGATTAGCTGAATATTTGGCTTCCAAATTTCAATAAAAGAATTTCTAGATGCTACATGTAATTAGCATAACTTGTATATTGTTTTAATATAATTTTACAGTAGATTAAAATTTAAAAGTTTAAATTTTCATTCCTGACTGTGGAAAAGCGTCAGTAATTTATAGATATTATTTATTTATATAAAATACGTCTAGGCATAATGGGACTTAGATGGGAGTTCACCTGTGTACTCTTATACTTTTACTATCTTTAACATGCTTTCCACTAGTCTTCTTCTTCTGAAGTATCTCTAAAACAATGAAAGAGCTATCCATTTTTAATGGCATTTATCTAGATTTTAAGAGGAGTTTAAAGGCTCTGTAACACTGGTTCCACAACATTTCACCTTTCATCGTGTTCCCTTTACCATTGTCCAGCCTCATTTGAACAAAAAAAAAAATCAATTCATAATTTAAGATCAAACATAAATGCAAAAATTTAATATTTTTTTAATTTAAGCATGAAACGTTTTTCTTGAGGAATCCTAAATTCTACCAATACTATGTACCACAAAAATATGTTAAAATATCTCATTTTTTTCCTCCACTCTCCCATACCCCACAAGAGTTTTCTCACACCTTCCATCTAGTTTTGAACCCAACATTCCATCAGTATATCGCCTGTGTGTTCCCCCATCCCCATCTTAACAGGCGAATGGAATATAAACAATCACTCTGGGTTAGTACAAAGGATCAGAGAGAAACCCCTCTTCAGTACCTTCGGAGGAGCCTCATCCGATCCTCCGGAATCCCAGGACACCGTAACCTGTCGTCTTGATTCCATTCTCGTTCGCTCCTCCTGCTGCAGCTTCTCTTCCTCCAGGATTGTACTAAGGGAAAAATGAATGGTGCTCTGAAGATAAATGACATTCTGGCTCAGAATTTAATAGATGTCGTCCTCAAGTCTCCTCCAAGCGCATTCCCCAAACCAATGGTTCCAGACTGCAGACTAGTAAGGAATTCACTAGACAAATACGTCTTCTTTTGAGACGGCAATAGAAATGGTTAGGCATTATAAGATGAGTGATGGGGAGGGGCAGTGGGGGCGGTGGGGAGCATGCCTTTGCGAAATTAGCAACTGGGTACTGAAACATAAGACTCTTAAAACACCAAGACATATGGCAATGAGAGATATTTTTAGAAAGTTACGGGTGATCTTGCTGAAGAATATTTAAGAAATATATATATATATATTCACATTCCTTTTCATCTAATGGCACCAGCGTAATTATTCTCAGGCAATTAATCAAGTGCATACTTGCTTGGAAACATCCAAACCCAGAAAACAAGACCGCCACATCTCTGAAAAGTCAGACAAGTTTCAGACCCTTTTTTTAGTAGGGGGGGTGGGAGAGAGAGGAGGAAACCCTTCTTCTAATTAAGAAGCAATGTTAGCTATAATCTTTGTGCTTACTTTTAACCTTTTGCAGAAGATATGTTCAACCAAACAAGAACTATGCCAGTTGCTTGCCTTTTAAGAGAAAATGGGGCGAGGGGGCAAATTCTCTAATAAATCAAAGAAGAGTTTTAACCACTAATCTTTAGCTACTCACCACCTTTTCACCACTTGAAGCTAGCAAGTTTGTCTGCTTCCTCTAAGAAACACACACACACAAACACACACACACACACACACACAAAACCATCCCCCTCTTGCCATGTAAATTACTAAGCTGGATATCAGCCATCCTGAAAAGACTTGAATTGCAGCTTTTTAGACTTGCCAAGCAATTACAGAATCCTATCCTACATATATTCTTAGTAATTCAAAGCTGATCTGATCATTTCGATACTGGTCTTTCCAGAGCTGAAGGCAGAACAGCCTGGCACTGAAGCAAGCCCTGTGCTTTGGATGCCTGTCAGAAGGTTTTCAGACTGCTCAAATTCACATTTTTTAAACCAATTTCCCTCATTTAACTGTGTGGAATAATGAAACGCCTGACATCATTCATTGTGCTTGGAAATAACACATGTTTATCGTGGTACGCACACAGTGTTTCACATGATCAAAGAAATTTGGTATGTTTTTCTAGAAACACAAAACCCTGGAAAAAGAGAATAGACACAAATACCTCTTTAACACTGTTTCGAGAAAAAAAGGCCACCTGCCTAATTTAATTTATGGAACTGTTGCGAGAAACTCCCATTTCATTTCCCTTTAAATGATCTGCACCCTCTTTTTCAATACCTTCATTGACACCAAAGTTCCACAAATAACTTCGCCGTTTTATTCTCCCGCATGTTGCAGACAACCATAAAACCCAAGAAACTGCCCACTCCAATCCATTTATTGCTCAAGATTACTGTTTGCTTTCAAAGACTGGATAGAATCTTTTGTCTATTTGGGAAAGCAGTGGGGACAACAGGGGTATGTTGTGAAGAATGCACTGGCTCTTTAAATGTCACAAGTAGGGGAGACAGACTACAGCCAAGAACATGAAAAACATGCACGTCACAAAAATGTCTGCCCACAGCTAGCTAAAAAGGGCTCCACATTCTTAGCCACTTGTCTGGCCCATCTATCTATGCTCACTGCCATGGCGTCTCTGCTGACATTTGCCTTCAGAATATTAACACTAAACACAAGCAGGAAAAAGAAACATGCTTTCTTAAAGTCAAGTTACACATTTCTGGTTTGTAACATAAAGAAGTGCTAACACTGACTTTGCCCTGGTTACGGCCAAACTATTTTTCAGAAGTTATTATGTTGTGAAAATAATTTCCAAAAGGTGCGAAATAGCCTTTGCACTTTCATTAGCCATCAAAATCCCACAAGCGGGCTTGTCTGGAGGTCAGGCCTTCCTCTACTTCAGAAGATTAATTTCCTAGCTCAAACACAACTTCCTTGGCCAACAAACTAGATAGGAGGGCAGAGGCTGCAACGGAGAAGCACTGTCACAGAACCACTGTCAGATAGCCTATTGCCCATACCATCTTTTTCGCTCCCTCCCCAGAGTGGCCTTCCATGCTCCCCCTGGTCTAACTTCTGCTCAGTGCCGATTCCATTGTAGTCTCGCTTCCCAAGCACACAACATGTTTTTATAACTAGGAGAACTGGTTGAATGCATTCATGCACTGCATAACTGAGACCTCTGAGTTATTAGGTCTTCTGCACCGGAACTCTCCATCAACACAGGGAGGTCAAGAGTGAAGTGGACGGAAGAAAGCATGCATCTCTGTCTACTTTCGTGCCTTCAGCAAGCCCCCTTCGTCTTACGAAAAGCTAAAATCTGCTCAGAGCAAAGGATTAAAAATAACACATAAAACTGTCTTTGTTGAGCCACTGGGAGGGTCAGTCCATAGATGGGAACAGCACAATGGCTTGAGATATTTTTAACTAAACTTTATACAGCTGTTTTAATGCATTCTTAGTAGTTTTTTGGCTAAGAGTCCCCGGGGTCAGGAAAGTCAGATTAAGCCATATTTTCCCAAAGTGAACATTAATTGTAATGCATCAGTCACTCAGGGAACAAGGCCTTGTCACGCAGTTTGTCTCTGCCAGATCCTAAAACAACTTGAAGGCATACAGTTGAGCTCCTTAGAGATGTTTATACTTGTGATACAAAGCCGACATCCAAATGCATTTTTGGTCAAAATTATAACATCCCAACGAATTTAATATACTGCACAATTCACTCTATCCCTCAAAAAAAATCTCATTTCCTTTTATTCCTCAATGATCAGCACTCTTTTGAGTGAAATATTCAGTTGTGTTTTAGAGCACTGAAGTGGGGGCAAGACAGCAGGACTGGATATATAACATGGAGATCTTTAAATTTTTGTTCAGGAATGAACCATTTGTCAAAAATATTCTTCATCAGCCTCAGCTTATACTCTGCAAAATAAGGATGAAGGTGAATTTTCTAATCAAACAAAGAATGAGCTATTACACTTCATTCGTACATACCTTTGACCACCAAAATACAATGGAAGTTCTGTAGCTCACTAGGCAGTAAAATGAATCAAGGCAGCTGCTATTCATATTTCACCACTGGAAAACTGGAGAAATGTAGTTTAAGAACAGAAGAGGTCTTTTGCAGCTGCGTTGTTATCTTAGATTTTAAGAGTATTTGATTTTTCACTATAGTTACTTACTTTCTGAACAGCAAAGATGGAAAGACAGGATTAGAATAGGTAAAGGTTGCCCTTGACATTTAGTCCAGTCATGTCTGACTCTAGGGTGCGGTGCTCATCTCCATCTCCAAGCCATAGAGCGAGCGGGGTTTTTTTGTCTGAAGACAGTTTCTGTGGTCACGTGGCCAGTGCAATTAGACATGGAACACCGTGAACTTCCCAACGAGGTGGTCCCTATTTATCTACTTGCATTTACATGCTTTCAAACTGTTAGGTTGGCAGGAGCTGGGACAAGCGACGGAAGCTCACTCCATCGCATGGATTCGATCTTACAACTGCTTGGTCTTCTGACCTTGCAGCACAGAGGCTTCTGTGGTTTAACCCACAGCACTTTAGGATTAGAATAGTTTTAACTAAATACAAGCAAAAGAGAGAGTCAGAGAACTGTGGACAATTGGAAACCGCTTGGTCATGCAAGCGCATGGCAATATAGGATCTAAAGTGTATTCTTCTAGGACGGTCCAGGTTGCATCCAAAGAGAATTTTCGACTTTGTAACAAAAAGGGCTGACATAGCCTATTCCTCCCTGGAAGACCCAAGATTCACTTACTTCAAGATATCCCCTTGAAAGATACTGATTTCTGACAAAAAATTTATATCATTAGAATCAAGACAAAGCATACAGATTACTATGTGCAATGCTGCACATGTGGATAGTAGAAGCAGTAGCTGCTTTTGTAAAAACGTCTCAAGCTTTTCCACAACAAGAAGTGTCCCTACAGGCAGGCAAACATTGAGACGTTTCAAATGTTGGTTCAACTCCTCATCTTTCATGTCCCTCCTAGGCTCACTTAAACTCACAGAAGTAGATCCTTGCCTAAGGGGAGGAACCTTTGCCTAGCTGCACACAAGGGGTTTCTATTTAAATATTTATTTATTGTTCTTTTCATTTATCTTAGAAACCTCCACTACTTATATGATTGTCAACATTCTCTCTTCTCCCCCGAGACACATAAATATATAAAACTGCAGCAAGAAAGAATTCCTACCTCCTGGAAGCTCTCCAGAAAGGAAGGAAAAGCAGGGGGCGGAGGCAGGGAAGGACAACAAATGCAACAAAGAAAATTGTGAAACAGCTTGTTATGCAAGCACACAGGAAACTAAGATTGGCAATCCACTCTCCTAGGATGGCCCAGGTTGCATCAGAAGAGAATTCCCAACCCTTGTAACTAAAAGGGGCTGACAAAGCCTTTATGCAGCAAAAGCAAGTCCGAAAGATCTTTGTGCAGAGCAAGGAGGAAAGAAACTGGCCAGGATCCTGTTTGCAGAGGCATAACATAATCTAACAGCGTCACAAATGTGCCAGATATTCCACCCATACCAACAAGGACTGCACGGGTCCATTGCAAAATTGGTTTTGTGGTTCCATTTCAAACAATTGCACAATGTGGATAGCCCTTCTAGTACGGCACAATTGTAACTACCACAGGCACAATGTCCCATTATGCCTACATAACTACTCAACAGAATTTCTGCTACCGCGGACTTCAAGCCATTCAATTTCTGAAACACTGGACATCCTTCTAGAATTTTTGGAGTCCCAGGCAGACACATTGGACAACCTATTTTCAGGTACACATTGTGTGTGTTTTCCCCCCCTCCCCAGTAAGGTGGGGTGGTTGTGAGAAGAAAGTTACCTAGCCCCACCACTGCTGACCTTTATAAAAAAGCAAGGAAGGACTGCTGATTCCACTAATGTATAGCTGCAAGGGTGGCTATGCTCTCATTTTGCCTGTGGTGTGTAAACTGGCCAGATCTTTAATTTCATTAATTCTGTAATATGTGCTATATCGTTATGCTGCAAATTGCGAATACCACCATTCTTGTTATCATTAGTGGAAGCTACTGTTTTGCAAATCTTGAGGACAGAAAAAGAGTATAAGAATTATTTTATTTTATTTATTTTAATTATTTCAACAAACAAGTGATGCTTTGGGAGGCTCTAGAACAAACTGGATGTACATCCACACTCTGCTAATATACAAGTTCAAAAATATAGCATGCATGTTGTCTCTGTGGCCAGTTTCAACTATGGGGAACTCCCTTCACTGAAAACACTGGAGACAGTGGTTAAAATCCTTTTGCTCAGTGTAGTAAGTAACACTAGAGTAAGCCCATTAAATGATGAGGGTTTGGCAAGTCAATTCTTCTGTAAGCTATGTTGATTTAAATGGGTCTACTGTGGTTGTGACTCCTTATGCTAAAGTAAGTCACAACTAAAGTAGGCCTATTTGAATGAATGGCACTTACAGATGAGTTGAGTCATCAAATCCCCACTGATATATTGGGCCTACTCTAGTGCAACTTACTGTGCTAAGCAACAGAATTTCACAGCACTTTATGCAAATAAATACATTTCAACCAGCAAGTTAGTGATTGGTGAATCTGTGAAAGCAAGAAAGATTTAAGAGCAGAGCTGTCTGGAGCCAAAAAAAGAGAGGCTGAAACTGAACATTTTATCCAGAAATGGCTCATGGTAGGAATTTAATAAGCTCCATTGACACTAGAATTACTGGTGGAAGGGCATAAAACCACATGATCATTATACTATTATTTCTGGATTCAGCTATCATTTATTCCAAGACGGTTTGTTTTTATAGCTTTAGTTTCAAACCGAGATATTCCAAGTAGGAACCTATTTTTAAAAGAACCTTCTTTGCAAGAGAAAGCTGTCATAATCCATCCTTGCTCTGTGCCCTCCCTTGAAAAGGAACCGCCCAAACCCTATGATTTCACATAGGAAGTTTTGCACATAAACATTAGACGTGAACAGACCCAACGTGAACAGAAACGGGATTCTTACTTGAGCTGTGCTTTAAGTTCTGTAAATCTTGGCCGCCGGCTGGGATCATAGGCCCAACATTTGGTCATAAGGCTGTACAGAGTGGGAGGGCAGTTTGGCGGCATTGGTAACCGCTCACCATTTTCAATGCGACCGATCACATCATTGTTCTTCACCCCTTGGAAAGGCTTTATCCCGTGCATTAAAATTTCCCACATGCACACACCTGGAAAGGAGGTCGGGGAAAGAGGAAGAAGAGCAGATGGTTTTAGTCAAAGTCATAATGAGTCTCTTGGAAAGGTAACACCTGGATTAAATACCGGCAAAATACCATTTTTTGAAAGGAATATTTATTCATTTACAGCTATTGTGGTGGTGACTCAGTTGTCTAGCAATATCAAGTTGCATTCCATCTGCCACTAGAAATCTTTTTTCAGTGTCCCGCATTGAGCAAGGGGTTGAATTTGATGGCCTTATAGGCCCCTTCCAACTTCACTATTCTACTATGATTCTAAATCACTTTACCAAACATTTCTTTAAACATTTGTCTTCAAGAACTTCTTCAGGGCCAGGAAGCATGCCACTGATCTTCTCAAAAGTCATGTCATCCAAATTTTCTGGATCACATCTTCCATCAGTTCTTGCTAGGACGGTCAATGATTAAGAATTAAGGGAGTTCACGTGCCCCCCCCCAAAAAATTACCTGACAGGCACAAGGATGGGAAAGGCTATTGTACTGGGAAAGTGGGTAACTAGCTTCTTGCATATAATTTTTGTTTGGAAAAATCTATAAATTTTACATCAGAGTGCAATGAAAAATTGTTATGATCAAGAGACAAGAAAGCAGAGAGACAGCCATTCATGTGTTTATGGCTTCTGTTTCAGGAACACACATTCCTTACCCGTGAGGTTATGAAGAGTGACTAGCATGAGCCACCCAGCACTTGGCTCTTGCTTGATGAACACAATTTCCTGAGCTGAGAGAGGACTATATAAAATGGCAGCGTTACACAGTACTTTTAGCATCTTCTGTGGCTGTACAAAGGTTATCGTTTTCAAATCACTTAGAACTAACGAAAGGGCAAGTACATTTTGAAAATGAGAGGTGTGACTGCCTTTCTTTTTAAATTTTTCCCTTTTTCATAAGGTCAGCCACATACTCCGCGCTCACAGTACTGGTCCAGGAAACGGAATAGCTTCACTCCTTGTTTCCCTAACCACAGTACCGCAACGGCAGCCAAGAGAAGGTGTTATCCCAGATATGACAACTGAGTTCATTTCTGCACAATAGGAAAGTTGGCCAACAGGTATTAATATTAACCCTTATTTCCAACACTCATAAATCCATAAAGAAAAAAACCCCTCTTACTAAAGTGAAGCCTAATTATTTGAAGAAAGCAAAAAACAAAATGTTTGTTTCGACTTTTACACCTAGTCACATGACTCTCTGTCTTCTCTGCAGAGGACCTATAGCAATATAGCAGGATTTAAGGAAGATGATGACAGCCAATCTATCTGAGTGTGCCATCTGGAAATGATCTGCCACCCAGTCCAGCTCCTGGAGGTTCAGGGAGTGCTTTTTGTCAGCCCCATCTCTTACCTTCCAAGAGAACACAGAGGCCTGACAATGGTTGTTAAATCATAATCTGCAACTTAAGTGACTATGTCTTATAAATCAATTTTACCCTAAGCCTTAATAAAGCTTCCTTTTTAGAAACCCAGCAACTTTGCTTATCAAGCACAGTAGCTTGAAATGGTTATGTTTGCTAAGGTAGATGCCCACAGCTAGGATGAAAGGCTATATCCTACATTTTCTTTTTTCAAAATGGATTTTACAGTATTTCAAAAATGCCTTATCTTGGTTTTCAGTTAATTCATTAGCCCTAGTTGATCTCTCTACAAAAAAAGACTGTCTGCTATCCTATTTATAACAATAAAAGGGTAACCAGCTGCTGCCCTTCCTAATTCCCTGAGGCTTGTTCTTACCTGTTAGCAATTCAAAAGAGCATTGTAATCTAAGCTTCAAAGGGGTGGGGGTTTTATCCAGAAGCAAAGGGTTTCACTCGAAACTATGCAGACAAGCGTAATCCAGCAACTCCTCTGCTCACAAACCTTTTCCATGTCCAATGTTTGAAAGGACATGATCCAAGAAAGAATGCTCCCGGTGTTGTACCGAGTAATTACCAGGAAGATTAAAGATACTGTTTTGTGTATGCTGCACTCGTCTTTTGTGGCTTTGGTTTTCTTTCTAAACCAATCCACTAACACAGCTGCTTGTTAGCTTCATCATCATAAGGGATGATCCCTTAAGATGAATGTGAACCTTTCTGCACCTTGCACCACACAGAGAAGTAATAAATCACTTACCAAACATCCAGACGTCACTGGCTGAGGTAAAACGTCGGAAATTGATAGATTCTGGTGCCATCCACTTGATGGGCAATTTTCCTTTGGAAGCTAAAGGGCAGAGAAAATGATTCTGAAGATCTCTTAAATACCCCTGTCAAATTGTACCCAATCAATTCGCTTCAGTAACACACAGGCAGTAATCCTAGTGGCCCTCTGCTAAAAGTATTTCTTGCCACACCTCACATGTTGGATAGAGGAAGAGACACCAAGTGGCAAAGGTAACAAATAGTAGATACATTCTAGATGGGTGGTACACAAGTCTAATAAAATGAATGAATGAATGAATGAATGAATGAATGAATGAATGAATGAATGAACGAACGAACGAACGAACGAACGAATCAAATAGCTGTCCTTGGCTACTATCTCTAGAAGACGTATGGAAAACCAAAAACTAGAGTCACACTGAATCAGACCATCTCCTGGGCCAATTATAATCCCTCTCTAATTGCCATTTTATTGGTGCTCCACCACCCAGCCTCACTGTGACCGACTTCAAGCAGAGTCTGCTGCCACCTTATCTGTTCTATATTTGTTTAGAACGTCTATGCCTTCTTCCATGTGTCAGGTTTACACACCTCATTTTTACCACACTGAGAAAAGCTAAATGATAGTTGTTGGACATATAACACAGAAGCTAAGAGGGGAAAATTGATACAACTGAGCTACGGTGGTCATATGAAAATAAGCAGGAGAGTGTTCCTGCACCTTTTATGCTTGTATGAAGAAAGAGCATTTCAGCAACTTACAGCTGCTGAAATTCCATCTCTACGTGGATATTAAAGGTACAGAAGACAGAAACTAATTATCTAACTGGTTCCACTGTGAGAAATCAGGTGAGCAATTCTAAGGAAAGCAGTTTTTAAAAAAAGAGAATGACAATTAAATCCAACAAGTAGCTTCTATCTCTCAGAAGTGAATTAAGCTTCATTCCTCTATTACTTTCAACTTTCAGTGAGTTTTAAACATTAGCCAATATCCATACCTTCCAATAACAATTTATGACTACCCAAAATTGTGAAAAAAGGCAGCAGCTTAGATCACACCAAAGATTTTGCTGACTTTTGCCAAAATGAGTAGACCTTTGGTCTAGATGGGTGGGTCAGAAATCCAATGAATGAATGAATGAATGGATGGATGGATGGATGGATGGATGGATGGATGGATGGATGGATGGATGGATGGATGGATGGATGGATGGATGGATGGATGGATGGATGGATGGATGGATGGATGGATGGATGGATGGATGGATGGATGGATGGATGGATGGATGGATGGATGGATGGATGGATGGAAGGATGGATGGATGGATGAATGAATGAATGAATGAATGAAATGTAATTCGAATGTTTTCATGTGAAAACTGCTTCTAAAGGCCTGGCGCTGCCACAGAAAAGATCCTGTCTCCTATGCTCATTCATGAGACATCTGGAGATGCTGGAGAATACACTAGCCCTCACTCACTCATTGTGTTACTTCCAGAATATACTTCGCATGAACACCTACTATTCTCACTAATAGTTCTGGAAACTGATGTCTAAAGGACATCAAACAGCAAGATAAAAGATAGATTTTTTTCCCTTCATGTGAACCTATTCTCAATATTTGTGGTTTCACAGACTTAGAGCTACTCAGGTCAACTCTTTTTGACCCGTTGACCCCAGCTCTGTGAACATGGTACCTCCTTCCTTACCTTTGTAATAAGTACTGTCTTCCATATATCGGGACAATCCAAAGTCGCCTAGTTTCACACAGTCTGTGGAGGACACCAACACATTTCTAGCAGCAATATCCCTGCCAGAGGATACAAATGTTATTCCATTTCATGGATTTACAACATCACTAGTACAGTACTAGAAATCCTGCAGCCACATCGTTTTTATGGGAAAACAAATTATCCATATTTCCCTTCCTTACCTATTTTACCAGCTTTGACCAAAAGGGACCATCATCCTAAACAGTATATAATACAGTAGATCAGTGGTTCCCAACCATGGATAACCCAAGTGTTCTTGGACTGCAACTCCCATAAACCCCAGCCAGCATAGCTGGTGGTGAAGCCTTCTGGGAACTTCAGTCCAAGACCACCTGGGTGACCCACAGTTGGGAACCACTGCAGTAGATGATTTGTTCACAACTTGTGGCACTCCAGGTGTTGATGGATGGCAACATCCACCATCCCTCTCACCATTTTGATTTTACTAGCTGGGTAGTATGGAAGTTGCATTCTCCCAAGATTTCGAGGGCCACAAATCCCTCATGTCCATATTATATGAAAGTCTGCTTCAAAGGCACAGATGAAGCTGAATGTGAGGACGGGTTGATGTTCATCTAGTTTAGTATTAACCAACTTAACTGACAGGGAATTCTCTGGAGCATCACACAGAGCTCCCTGTTACCTGAAGTCCTCTAACTTTATAATTAAATCCAGGACATTATGCACATAATTTTTGCATAAAACTCTCAAGCTCTGACACTCCCCAAGACCTTGCTTCACTATAGAAGGCAGAATAGAAAATGTTAACAGCAATTCCAGTGTACGAATCATCTGGGAGCTAACCAAACATAATTCAACCCCACCACCAGAGCAAATATAATAGGCTAGCTTACAGGTTAAAAAAAAAGTATAAAGATTTTCCCACCCACTAAACTGCTTGTGCCAGTGGTACCAGATGTTTGAAAAAGCAGATGAAACAGGAAACACAGGAGCCTTTAGCTTTCTGCCATTTTTGTTTCTCCCAATTAAACAAAACAGAACTCGATTATGGGAAAGAGATCAAGAAAAGAGACACTCTTCTGAACATTCCAAAATGATATGACATTGCATGTTTCATAAGTAGTTCTCCCATCCATAATTAATGCAATCTTTTCTTCAGCTTAACAACAGCTTAGAAATGCAGAGAGTTGCTTCCTTTACTGGGTTTCAACTCGAATGCAACAAAAATGGAAGCTGCCTGTTTAGTATTCTTCTCACCCTTCACTTAAAAAAAAATTACAGTTAAGCCCTCATGTTTTGAAGATTACAGATGGTTCCTAAATGCCGTTTGCAAACCACCAGCAGTCTTGGCAGACCCACTTTCTGACTCATTTCATTCCAAATATATATATATGTATTTGAAACACTAGAGACAGCAGGCCAGCAGATGTCACCCTTTGCCAAGTCTCTTAGGCTCAGCTAGCCTGTCAATAAATAAGTTAACACAAATGGAACTATTCAAAGATGCAGAATAGATATTGAAATGCTAGAGTATTGTTCACAAACCTTTATTCATTTATTACATCGATTCAAAACAGTTAAATAGGCCCAGGCAATGTAAGAGTGCAGTTCTAGATTTAAAGCACGTTCCCATGGTGGTAGAGTCAGTATTCTATCCACCCTATAAATTGGACAACCATATATATGTCTTTTGGATTCTTACACTAAAATACTGCATTCTGATATTGTGTGGTGTAGTGGATAGAGTGGTGGGCTAGGACCTGGAAGGCCTGGGTTTGAATCGGTGCTCAGCCATGGAAATTGACTGGTGGAGTGGAACTGGTAAAGCTATTCTTTTAAATATCTCCGTTATATTGAAAGCACTGCTGGGGTTGCTGTAAATGGATTCTGATTTGATGGCATATAATAACAAAAAACAATAACACTGTCTTACCTATGAACAAATCGTTTGCTCTCTAAGTAGGCAAGTGCTGTGCTAAGTTGATAAGCATATAGTATCAAAGAGGCCAGATCCAAGCTGTATTTTCTTACTTGCAAAAATGATCTCAGCTTCAGGAATTAAGAAAGAAAGAAAGAATACAGAAAAGAAAAAAAAGGCAGATCAAACACAAGTATACTGAATATGTAAGACTTGCTGTAAATTCAACAGACCAGAAGACTCCAGTCTATCATTTCAGCCACCCATGCCCTTTCCTGGGGATCTTCTTTGCCTTAATGTAATGATTTTCCCCAAAAACAAACTTTACACTTTTTAGTACCAGCCACACTTAGAACTTACTTGGCTGTTTGTGGGGCTATCTTTGTATTCTTGAGGGGTTTTTTTTTGGGGGGGGGAATCTCACGATTATCCCAATATAGTGTTTCTAAGTGCCACCTTTCTTTTTGGCCATAAACACTCAATAGCTGAATTTGCCTGTGTAAGGCCATTTCACTGGATTTCAAAGGATCCAATGATGATGATGATGTTTCATCGCTGCCGCTACACACCTCCAAGTGGCACATGTGCAAGCAGGTCAAGAGGCCATTGGGAAGGGATTAGGCTTTCCACCCAACTGTACAGCAAAAGCACTGTCCCAGGATACGACCTAGTGCTAAGCCATGAGTGATAATATCCAGCTGACTGTACGGAGACTAAATTGCTTGCATTCTGCCTATATTAACTGGTCAGCTGTACTAAATTTAGTAACGATTTCATTATCTTAAAAAAATCTGAAGCAAAGAATTACTGAAAAGAAGAACAATCTGATACAGCTTTCAGGGGACAAAATCACAGAATTGCAAACAGCAGTATAATGTCACATTTACCTTAGCCCAATTCCTTCAAATTGGTTTCCCCAAGAACATTAGGAATAGAAAATGTAAAATAATGCACATTTGGGGGGAAAAAAACCAAAATCAAAATTTTATTTATCAGCTAATGGGTTCTGAGCTGTCCGTGATGGATCAGGAAAGAGATCTGGGTGTGCTGGTGGACAGCTCGATAAAATGTGTAAGCAGCAGCAGTGAAGAAGGCCAGAGAGATCTGGGTGTGCTGGTGGACAGCTCGATAAAATGTGTAAGCGCTGTGTGCAGCGGCAGTGAAGAAGGCCAGCTCCATGCTAGGCATCATTAAAAAGGGGGACTGAAAATAAAATACCCAAACATTCTAATGCCATTGTACAAAATGCTGATAAAGCTGTGCCTGGAGTATTGCGTACAGTTCTGGTCGCAACACCTCAAAAAAAGACACTGTGGAAATAAATACCGTATTTTTCGCTCCATAAGACGCACCTTTCCATAAGACGCACCAATTTTTTTAGGAGAAGAAAACAGGAAAATATAATCTGTTTTCTTCGCTCCATAAGATGCACAGACTTTCCACCCCCCATTTTGTGGGGAAAAAGTGTGTCTTATGGTGCGAAAAATACGGTAAATAAATAGAAAAGGTGCAGGGGAGAGCGACTCAAATGAGGACGGGGCTGGGGCCCCTCCCTGATGAGGAAAGGCTACAGCGTTTGGGGCTCTTGAGTTTAGAGAGAAGGCGTCTGACAGGGCACATGATTGAGACATATCAAATTATGCAGGGGATGGATCAAGTGGAGAGAGGGAAGTTACAGTATAATCAGTTACTCTAGGGCTAAGTCAGAATATGTGATTCTGCACCTGCAGAATTCTGATGACACTGCCTTGGAATGCAATATACAAAATAAACAGCCTTCCCAGAACTCCTTATATAATGTCTCTAAGGGTGGTAGGGTAGACATGTGCTCATGAAAACGTCATACCTCTCCTAGTGTGCAAAGTTCCATAATGATCCAGACAGGGTTTTCTGTGATAACACCGATCAACTTGACAATGTGGGGGTGGTCAAACTGACGCATGGTTACTAGAATAATAAAAAAAGACAAGACTTGTTATACTGAGGCACAGAGTAATCTGGAATATTATGGGCTCACTACAAGCAACAATCCGAATAGTCAGAAGCATTTCATCCAATACTGTAATGCCTCTCTCTTTTTTTCATTTGTATGCAGCCTTTCTCAGCCTTGCTACATCTGTGTGGCAGCTACACCATCTGGCAAATGGTTGCCATATTCCACCTCCTACCTTGCAATGTACGACATGTGTGACTAGAAAAAGGAATGTGAGAAGCATTAATGAAGGTAAATGCAAAATGGTAAAGGAAAAGATAGAAAATTTGTATTACTTTGTGTGATCAAACTTAAATCCAGTGTATCATGATATTTTCAACTAGTGAAGTGTTTTTGCTCTGGATAAAAAAAACAGGGTGATCCTAATAATGAGACAATATCTAGCACAGGCAGTTAGGGACTTCAGATTCAGTAATCTCAAATTTCTTGAAAAAATTGTCAACATAGCGATCATTCAAATCTATGCTGCAAGTATAGATGCTGAAGGAGATAAAACAGAAAGTTTTAATGCATTTAATGCAATTGTCCAGAAGGAAACTGGTCAGGCACCAAAAGAGGACGCTGATAACCATAAATGACTGGAATAAATAAGTAGGAAATAAACCAAAACCAACATCACTGGAAAATTTGGCGCAGGAGTCAGAAAGGAGACAAAGGAGAGCAACTCTCAGTTTTACAGAGCCAATAATTTGTTTATTGCAAATATGTGCCTGAGGCAGTCAAACAGATGAACATCTCCAGATCAAATCAAATGGACTAGATCAAAAGAATATGTCTGTCAAAACAAGATCAAGAGCAGACTGTGACACAGGCCATAAACTTTTAATAAACCAAAAGTAAAATGTAAATATCCCAAGACTTTTATAAGGAACAAATCTAACAAACTTTACAAAATATCAGAAGAGAACAAACAAAGAAAAACACAAGATCTCTTCTATAAAATCCAACAAATCAAAGGGAAATTGGGGTGCTGAAAGATCAACGGGAATATATTATACAACTGAGATAAAGTAAAAGGGTAGATGGTGACCATATTATAAAGAACGAGGAGGAAGAGGTGGGAGAATAGCAGATTTATTCAAAGACAGGTCTTTTAATGGAAAACCTGCGATTCTAGAAGGTGCTCCTAAAGCACATGGAGGAAGTAAATGGGATACCAGCAGAGCTATTTCAAGTTGAAGATAAAGCATCTATCAGAATCCTAACAAATGCTTATCAACAAATATTGAAAACAAAAGATTGGAAAGCTTCAATACCAACGCCAAAGAAATTAGGCATCAAAGAGTGCAACAACTACTGTATATGACTATCAAATTAATTTCTTGTGCAAGCAGTAATGTTCAATATATTACAACAAAAACTTTGACCACACATGGGGTGAAAATAAAAGATCTCCAAGCTGAATTCAGAAAAGGATGAGGCACTAGAGATCATATTACAGATATATTTTGGTTACTGAAGTGTACCATTTCTACAGAAAACCAGTCTGTGATTTAGACACTGAAGTAGAGTCTCTGACTGAGTCAATCATGAAAAGTGATGTATTGTTCTAAAAGAAATGTGTGTGCCCTTCACCTGATTGTCTTTATATGCAACCTATACTTTGGGGGAAAAGTACTGTTAGGACAGAATATGGAGAAACAGAATATTTACCATTTTCAAAGGTGTTAGACAAGGGTGTCTTTTATCTTTTACCTGTTCAATCTATATGCAGAATATACCATACAAAAAGTTGGATTCCGAACATGAAGGAGGAGTGAAACTTGAGAGGAAAATATAAATAATTTAAGATATGTGGATAACACCCTATTACGGACATAAAGTAGCAAAGACTAGAAACTACTGAGGATGGTTGAAGAAGAAAGTGCAAAAGGAGGATAACCAACCTACTGATTTCTGACTTCATAGCTACGCATCTAATTCACTTAGCTTTTGACAGAGTGCTCCATGATATTCTGATTAACAAGCTAACTAGGTGTGGGTTGGATAGAACAACTGTCAGGTGGATGTAGTTAGCTACAGAATCATATTGAGAAGGTGATGATTAATGGCTTCTTCTCAAACTGAGAGGGGGTAACAAGTGAGTACCCCAGGGCTCAGTCCTGGGCCCAGTGCTCTGCTACATTTTTATTAATGACCTGGATCAGGGGAACCAGGGAATGCTAATCAAATTTGTGGATGGAACAAAATTGGATGGACTAGGTAATACCCTGGAAGATAGAAACAAAATTCAAAACATTCTAGATAGGTATTCTCGAAGGCTTTCACGGCCAGTATCTGATGATTGTTGTAAGTTTTTCGGGCTGTTCGGCCATGTCCTGAAGGTTTTTCTTCCTAACATTTCACCAGTCTCTGTGGCTGATATTTTCAGAGGACAGAACTCTGTCTGTGTTCTGGTGTAGTGTGTGATCACCATAATCACCCAATCTCCTGAAAAGGACAAAAAGCTGATCTCACAGCTACAAATACTCTATTCCACCATAATCACCCAATCTCCTGAAAAGGACAGACTCCTGTCCTCTGAAGATGCCAGCAAAAGAGGCAAATGCTATCTTAGGCGACATTAACAGAAGTATAGTCTCCAAATCCCACAAGATACTAACTCCTTTCTATTCAGTACCTGTTAGACCTCATCTTGAGTACTGTGTCCAGTTCTGGACACCACACTTAAAGAAGGATGCTGACAAGTGGGAAGAAATTCAGGGGAGGGCAACAAGGATGATCAGGGGGCTGGAAACCAAACCCTAGGACAGATTGAAAGAACTGGGCAGGTTTAGCCTTGAGAAAAGAAGACTGAGGGAAGATAGGATAGCACTTTTCAAATACTTGAAAGTTTGTTATACTGAGGAGAGGCAGGATCTGTTCTTGATCATCTCCAAGTTAAGGACACACAACAATGGGCTCAAGTTACAGGAAGTCAGACTTCAGTTGAATATCAGGAAAAAATCTGAATATCAGGAAAAATTTCCTGTTAGAGCAGTACAAGAATGGAACCTATCTCTGCATTTGGATTCCTGCCTTGAGCAAGAGGCTGGACTCAATGGCCTTACAAGCCCCTTCCAAATTCATTATTCTATGATTCTGTGATTCTACTAAAAGAAAGGGATGGTGAGAAGTTTCTGAAACAGGCCTCCTCACAACTGCAGAACTCATGTGTAAATGCACAAGTGACTATGAAGAAGCAGCATTGTCCCTGCGATAAAGAAAGGGAAAAGAGTACTGTATTTTTCCATTTATAAGACATGCCTGTTTATAAAACACAAGCAAGAGGCTGGACTCAATGGCCTTACAACATGCCTGTTTATAAAACACCCTCCCTTTCTAACCCCAAAATTAAGAAAATATAGCTTTGGGTATTCAGCTTCTCGGCTCCTAATGCTTGGACATTAGAAGTCCCTGTTGAATCTGAGCCTACAGGCACTACCTCCAATGAGGTGTGTTCCAACTGGTTTCTACAGCATCAGCTGATATCAGTTCCATAAAGCTCGTGATTGGAGGAAGCTAAATTTCCTGACTGTAGGAAGTTAAGCCTCGTGATTCAAGGAAGCCTATTTACAGAGGCGAGGTATGGGCTGTTTTGTTCTCTCCGTGTTCTCAGCTTAATTTCTTGTAAAAGATGCCCCTCAATTATTAGTGTAATGATTTTAGGAAAAAGTTGTGTCTTATATACGGAAAAATATGGTATACAAGCTCATGGAGTCCCCACAATCATACCTAGAAAATTAGGAAGTGTTACACTTGTTAGAACAACGCACAGGGTGAGCTAATTTATTGTCTTCAGTTAATGTATTTCACCAGCTCTAAACTATGTACTGCAGCATACAAAATCTCAGCTAAACTGCAAACTGGAAAACTGTAGAAAATTAAAATTATACCTGATAGTGATGAAGGCCCAGAGAGCTGTATTGCAGCCTTTCATACCTGTTAGAGCTTTAGCTCTCCTATCCATTCATAGTATTTATGAATAATTCATTCATTACAATAAAGGAAGAAAAAGTGGTTCACTAAGCAGACAGATACATGATTATGTTATAGCGGTTAGCGTAGGAACACATGCACTGACTTGCATATAGTATTCACAAGAAATATTTTGGTACTTTGGTTTATATCAGATATTATTTGTTATGAGCATAATTACTATCAGCTTCAACACATAGCAGTAACAGCTTGCGCACAATGAAATGCGCATCTATTTAATCATGCTGTGGAAGATATGGCATTCTTTAGTAGAATCTAGAATATCACCCTTTTATCTGATGACATACACAGAAGCATTCCAAGAACATACATTAAAGCAGCCGTTTTATCTTGACTACTTCTGTTTTTGTAGCTATTATAAATTATGTGTACTATTGTCAATTTAAATCATTTACTGAAACGTTATGAGTGAAATAGACACCTACATTTTAAAGAACTGCTAAATCAAGTTTTACTTTTCAGGGGTTATGCTTATTAAGCAACATCAAGTCTTCAGAATCTAAAGAGATTGCACTAAAACATTTTATCAATAATCATACAAGCTACCTTTGTGCAAAAACATTCAAACAGCCTGCAAAAATACAACATGTGTACAAACAAGTCTACAACATGCTATATGTGTGCCAGTTTGCTCCCCTCATGAACGCATTGTAAGATGTTCTGCAATCCAGATGTGAATGGCCGGTTGCTTTTGCCACCCTGTTCTTCAGCTGTTTTGCAGTTATGTATATTTGATGACTAAAAAATCAGCTTTTCAACCCAATCAATTCTCAAAGCCAAAGCTCAATATCAGAAAACAGCAAAGACAAAATAAACCACATATCAAAATATCTGGGGCCAAATGCAATATAGTATCAGCAGCCTTCAAACAGCACAAATCTAACCTAAATGTTGGGACACTTCAGAATTAACAGCCTGTTTAAAAAAGGACACAATACAATTATGTACTTAAATAGCCCTGAATTAACAGCCTGTT